CTAGGAGTAATGGTCACAAACTCCTGGAAGATGATTTCAGGCTTGTTTCAAGCTCAACATTAGGAAAAACTACTTCACAACTAGGGAGTCCAGACTGTGGAATAAGCTCCCTTCAGAGGTGGTGCAGTCAGCTACCCTGGAAATCTTCAAGAGAAGATTAGACAGTCACTTTGCTGGGTTCACCTGACCCCCAGCTGTCTTTCCTGCTTGGTGCAGCAGGCTGGACCCGATGATCTTCCAAGGTCCCTTCCAGCCTTACAATCCAGGAATCTGAGTGGCTGGAGCCTAAATCTTAGGAGATATGGCTTTGGAACAGTTCTTCCAGGCCCCAGAAACCCCTTGTACCGATCTTGACAGCTGGCAGGCTTTGTGACCACAGTAGGGCCTAGCAGCCAGGCCTGCCATGATTTCCTGCCCCCCACCCCTCCGTGCCCCAAGACAGACACAGTTGCCCAAACACCCATGACACGAGTTTTGCCTGTCAGTAGCTAGAGCTGCAGGGCCCCAGAAGCCCCCTGCACCTATCTCCTTGACAGCTGGCAGGCTTTGTGGCTGCAGCAGGGGCCACCATCCCTGCAGCTTTCACCCTGCTGCACCTGAACACAGCGTTACCCATCTCATGAGTTTTCTTGTCTGGAGCTTGAGGTACAGTTCCACCCAAACCCCTGCACCTATCTTCTTGAAACTTGGCAGGCTTTGTGGCCTCAGCAGGGGCTACCATACCTGTGGTTTTGACCCCGCTGTGGCTTAACACATACAGGTGACATGAGTTTTGCTTTCAAGAATTTGGGTGCAGTTTCTCCAAACCCCCTGCACCTATCTCCATGAAACTTGGCAGGCGTCATGCCCTCAGAAGGGGCTACCGCTCCTGCAAGATGCATCCAAATCAAGCGAGAAATGACAAAGTTATAGGCTGTTTCAGCTTTCCCCATTATAGCCTATGGGCAAAATGGCAACATGTTCTGACTTTCCTCGTTTTGTTTCAAGGCTGTTTTGACTACATCTGTTGCATTTTAATTTTGCTGTTTCAGCCTCGAAATGGGTCGAAACAAAACTGGTGGTGAAATTTCGTACAGCCCTACTGGTTAGCAATGTGCTAGGCTGCAAGTGCCCTGCTGAGGCAGCTTTGGCTGAGGGGCCAGGCCTAAGCCGCTCCACAGGGCTTCTGCAGAAGCTACAGTTTAAGCCAGACCTTTATTCCTGCTCTCCACAGACCAATCCCCAGGGAGCCACGGGGATTTCCTTGACCATAATGTTGTGCTCAAGGGGATCAGGCTCTCATCAGTGTCGCCTTCCAGGGGAGCCTGGGGTAAGAAGGGTTCATGCCCTTTTGGATCTAGCACTCCTGTTACATCCCATCTAATACAGAATTGGAGTGGAGGGAAGAGTATGAAGCTTCATGTGGCAGGAGAGACTGTCTTATGTAGTTCATGGCTGGGGCCAAGTGTATACCACAGGAATAGCCTCAGATGTTTCCAAAACCTTTGACGGTCATCCTACTTGCAAGCCCAAGCCCAGGGGCTTGGGGTTCAGATGCCCCTGAGTTTTGCTTGACCTTAGCAATAAGGCCATTGGAGCAAGCAAGAGAGGAGACTCCCATTTCCATAAACTAGGCTTAAAGCTGCTACACCTCGGTGGGTACTGAACCACACCAGAAGAGCAGTTCTCCTGTGGCACAGTTCAGGAAAACTGCCTTCATGGACACAGATGCATGGTATTTTCCTTTCCAGGTTCAGAAGCCTCTACGCTTGATCTGAGCCTTCAAGAGGCCGAGACCTGTGATCTTAGCCTCTGAAACCCCAGGTGTGGGTAGAGGATGTTTGCCAGTAGTAGGACCGCTTATGGTTTCTGGACTCTTGGATTTGCAATTAGTTTCAGCTAATTTGGCCTTGGATACAAATTTAAAATAAAAATAAAAATACCACAGGAACAGCCTCTTGTTGGTTTCTCACTTCTTGGCCTCTTGTTGGCTCAGATCAAGTAAGAGAAACACCGTGACCACAGAAGCTGTCTCCCTAGTCGCACTGGGGAAGACCACTCTCCTGGCACAGGGATAGTACCTGCCAACATAATGTATAGTAAACCTCCCACTTAGCTGCTGGAGTGGGAAGGTCTTGGCTTTATGCCCACTTTATGGAAATAGGAGACTTCCCTGGCTTGCCCCTGGGGCCTTACAGCTGAGAGCAAGGAAAATTCAGGGACATCTGAACCTCAAGCCTCCGGGCTTGGGAATGCAAGTAGGATACCCACCAAAGGATTTGGGAACATCTGAAGCCCCAGATAGTGGTGGAGGATGTTTGCCAGTAGTAGGGCCAGTTATGGTTCTGGACTGACTCACGGATTTGGAATTTGTTTTGGCTAATTTGGCTTGGAATACAGAAAATTAAAAAAAAATAATACCACAGGAACAGCCACCCAGGTGCATATGATTACTGTGTGCCAGCCTGCCCATGCAGGCCATGCTAACCACCAGAGCCCACTTGCCAGAACAGGCCTGTGCATTAGCCCCTCCCTGCCTCTGTCTCAGGGCACTGGAGCAGTGCCAATTGGTGTTGGCACTGCAGTGAGGTGGCTCAACCCACAGTGATGACTGTGAACTTCCAGCAGATGCAGCTATCAGCATTGCAAACTTTGCCTCCCAGCCAAGAGAGCTGGAACCCTCTGTCCTTCCAAATTAAAACAGAGCCTTTGCTGTCATAACATGACTCCAGGAGCAGGAGGTTTATGGCTTTACTCTCCTCCATCCCACCCCCCATAGAGGGCTTACCCAGTGGGAGGCCTCCATAGTTCAGTCCCAGCCACTGGGCACCTTAATGAATTTCCTCTGCCTTAAGATCCCTTGTCAAGGTGCTGCAGGGCTGTTTGCTTTAAGCCTCTGAGCTGGGTGCCATAGGCTCTGGAGGCAGCTGGGCAATGCACAGCAGCTTCCCTGGGCTGCCTGATCGCTCACAGCCTTGTTCCTTCTGCCCTCTGGCCCACAGAACTCCATCCGGCACAACCTGTCCTTGAATAAGTGCTTCATGAAGGTGCCACGGCAGAAAGACGAACCAGGAAAGGGGGGCTTCTGGCAGATCGACCCCCGCTATGCAGATATGTTTGTCAACGGGGTTTTCAAGAGGAGGCGCACGCCAGGCCCCAGCTACAACCCCCTACCGCAGCCTGACGTGCCCAGCCCAAACACTGCCTATGGCCTCTCATCTCCAACACTCCACCCAGGGAGTGAGCAGTTGCACCCAGGACATGCCACAGCCCATGCTCTGCAGCTGCAGGATCAGAGCCTCAGCCTTGCAGGTGCCCCCCATGCTACCAGCAAACGCAAGCAGCCTGTGCCCAAGTACAGCAGCAAGACAGTCAGAACTTGCCCGTCCCCACTGTTACCTGCCCATGGTGCTGGGGACAGCACCCTGACAAGGGATTGCAGCTGGGCCAGCATCTTCGATGATGTCTTAGATGGAAGCGCCGGCAACTTTGAGGAGTTGGATATAAATGCAGCACTCGGCTCTCTGGGAGCAGACATGGGCCAGACCCAAAGCAGGCACCCCAGCCCTGCCAGCCCCTGGGGAGCCCTGGACACCCACCATCTCTGTCCAGAGCATTCCCTCCTTGAAGACATCCCTTTCACAGACCCTCTGCAGCCCCCCTTGGAGGAAGCCAGGGAAGAGGATCTGGGCCTCCCCTGGGGCTTTGAGCAAGGCTTCACCTTCTCTGAAGGCTTCCTAGGTGAGATGCAGCTGTGGGACAAAGGAGACTCCTTACTGTGACCTCTCCTGGGGCAAGGACAAGCTTGTGATCTGTGGGAAGCAGATACCTGGCACTAAAGTCTGCTGGTCTCCCACCCCTGCTGTCCCCCTGGTCCTTCTGCTTGGAGGCACCTTGCCCTTGACTGGACTGGGCTGCTTGTGTGAAAGTTCCCCAGAGCTACTGCATGCCCCCCTGCCCCACAAACTGAAGGAAGGGCAGGGCCCTGCACTCCACCCTGATAGCTGAGGTGTGTGTCTTTCTGTGCCCTTCCTGCCAACACAGAGCAGGCTGTACCCCAGGAATCAAGCTGTGCACCTGCCCAGTGCTTCTGCAACCATGTGCAGGCCTGGTCTCCCTGGGGAACATCTTGGATGATCTTGCCCAGCTGTGATGACATGACCCCTCCTACTGGGCCTAGCCTTGTTCTACCATGCTGTGGAGATGACTTGCTGCAGGGAGCCTTAGGTGAAATGGCAAACAGGAGAACCAGCCTTGGGGAGAATATTAGGGGGGGGCGTGGAAGGGGAGGCCAAGGCAAGGTGCTGAGGAAGCTTGGAAAACCATCGCTGCAAATAGTGTCCTGCTACATAGCCAGACCCAGGCCTGGGTCTAAGGAAATTGCACTGCTCTTGACAGCCCCTGTTTTCCAGCTGGCAGGGGCCTCCCCTGAGTCTGCCTCCCAGTAAGACAGAGGGAGTAGTAGGAAGCCAACATAGCGCCAGACTTGTTGAGTGAGGTAAATCCCCTCCTGGCACTGCAGTAGCCAAGGCTTGGGCTGTCAGACAATGCCAAAGGGAGCTTTCTCCTGCCTAAGCAGCTGTAAGCCCAGCCTGGCTAACTCCCTGCCTGTCCCCTGTCTGCCAGACTGCTCACGGCTACACACACTTCTGTTCCTGGTTGAGGACCAGCTGGATTTGCCCCAAAGTCCCCTTCACCATGGAAACACCATTCACCCTGTCTTCCCCACGCAGCAGGAGTGCTTCCATATGCCCCATCGAGCTGTCATGACTGGAGTCACCAGCACTGTCTAGGGACCAGGGCATCAATGGGAGGCAGGGCACAGCAGCAGGACACTTGGCATCTGATGTTGACCCTGCCTGTGTCACACACTTTGACCTCACAAGTGACGGATCTGTTCAGTGCCTCAGCTTCCTCATCTGTAAAGTAGAGATGTCCTCGGTCACACACTTCACGGCAGCTCTAAGCACCACTGGATCCTATTCTCCCTCTGCCCCACAGGACAGCTGTCGCTCATGGGAGTTTCTCACTGATCCTTTGGTTCCCTGTGGTCAGCGGTGAGCATATGAACTGAGCTGTCTCCCAGACACAGGAGTCCATGACCAAACACTGGCTCTTGGAGTGCCAGAGCAGGGTCTAGAAGTCCCAAGGGCAGCATGTGGTGCTCCCAAGGGCTTACAAGACTACAGGACTTGGCACTGGCTGGGCCACCTGTAGATACTGTGCCTCATCAGGCACACTCTTCCCACAAGGTGCTATGGAGAGTGCCCCAGTTTCCCAGAACACCTGGGTGCACCCCCACAGCTTTGCTGTTTGGGGGCTAAGTAGTGAAGGCTCAGCATGTAAAAAGCTGCAGCAGAGACACGATTCTGAGCGTGTCAGTGATGCTCCTGTGAGCCAGTTCCCATGGCCACAGGTTGTGCTGTGCTCCCACTGCAACTGACAGCGAGCTGTCTCAACTCTGCCACTACCCTGTCAAGTTAGGTGCATATTGCTACCTTCTGGGTAATGCGAGCAGCTGTCTCATAGTGTGTCTAGTGGGCTAGTGTGCTCAAGAGCTTGGATGCAGAGGGATACTAGGGAAATGTACTCTGAGAGAAGCTGACCTGGCTGAAATGGCAGCACAGGCAGGGCTGGAGATACTGTAAAAACAATGCAGTGCAATGATTGCAGGGTAAGCCATGCTAGCAGCCAGCAGGGGCAGAGCACTGGACCATTAGTTGCTGTAGGGTTGACAGGGCCTTTGAGACATGAGCCATCAGTGGTGAGACCACAGCTGGAGTACTGCATCCAGGTCTGGGCACCGTTCTTCAACAAGGACATGGAAATGCTTGAGAGAGTCCAGAGAAGAACCACCCATATGATTAGAGACTTGCAAGACAAGCCATATGAGAATAGGCTGAGGGACCTGGGCCTCTAGCCTAAAAAAGAGAAGGCTCAGAGGGGAATTGGTAGCAGCTTACTACTATATCAAGGGACTACATCAAGGGCTTGGCAACCAACAGTTCACCAGGGCACCCTTGGGGAAAACCAGGAGTAATGGCTACAAACTCCTGGAAGACCATTTCAGGCTCAACATTCAGAAAACTTTCACAATTATGGTGTCCAAACTGTGGATTAAGCTCCCTCCAGAGGTGGTGCAATTGTCTACCCTGGAAATCTTCAAGAGGAAGATTTCTGTATAGTCACTTTGCTGGGGTCACATGACCTCACCTGTCTTTCCTGCCTGGTGCAGGGGGCTGGACCTGATGACCTTCCAAAGTCCCTTTCAGCCTTACAATCTATGAATCTCCCCACATAATATATAGAATGCCAAAGTACCATAGTTAGGACTGTGGCAAGGTCCTCTGAAAGTTAGGTGTTACAATGACAAATGTAGAGTCCATCTAATGGGTTTAATGTTTTTGATCCTTGA